CCAGCAGGCTTGTACAGCCGAACTGTAGAGAAGCGCTAGCTATGCCTTCTTTTCGACCAGTCGACTTCAATTGATTCATGCTTGTCTCTTGAACGACGAAGGCTGCCTTCTAAACAAACAGCCCGTCTATTTGACCACGAGGCCGACAACAAAGAGCTCACGGAAAAAAACAAAACAACAAGCGAATAAAAGATAGACCACAAGATGAGAGCTCCTGTGATGTGATCCATCGTATCCGGTCGTTAATCTTGTGGTGGCCTCTTGTTTCGAACGCTCGTTGTGTAGAGCGTGATGGAGATTCAGCCAGACCTGTTTACTGTAAAGAGTGACAACCTACTTGGCACTCAAGTTCATTTAGACTCTGTAAATCATGTGCCACTAATTAGCAGCCTGCGATTCGGCTGAAGAATGCACGCGTTATTTTCCTTGTAAATATTGCCATATTTGTCTTAAAAGGTGGTTAATTTATTCCACAGCCTAGAAAATATTTTCTGTGTAGAAAATTACGCACGAAGATTTTCTCGCAATTCATTTGAGCGCAAAAAAAAAAACTTATAGATCGGAAAGTTGGTTCAGACTTGAAAGCAGCCCTACATGGCACAAGGCATGACCCTTTGCTGACCCAATGGTAAAGTTGTGCCTCACAGCATTATATGCATGATAGTGTAGAAAATATTAATGTCCCAGAAAAGAACTGCTCATTCATTAACATGAATAAAACAGAAAATCACTCGATCGATCGACCTGATTCTCCAGAAACGTGACCGGAAGTTAACTTCAATGCTGCAGCTCAGCCGTAGCTATTATCATACGCTCATTGTCATTTCTTAATGGCTCCAATATTTTACATAGCGCTTGCATTGCGTTGGCGTTGTTTTAAACCAAAAATAAAAGGCGCTTCGGTTGCATAAAACATGTTGACGCTAAAGTCGCAAAAGCTCTGACGTCATCAGTTTACGTGCTTAGTGATAAACGTGACCTGAACTTTCTAATTTCAATACATAAATGTGACGTAGCTGGAATTTTAAGGTGACTGCCACTTATATCAGCCTGAAATTTACGACGTGGTATTTGCCGCGTTTTCGTGCTGTTCTTTAAACCAAAAATAACCAACGCCTCGGTTGCCAGGAAATGTCGACTCTAGCGTCGCGAACGTTTTCACATCATCGTTCAAGCCCCACATTTTCCCAGCACATTTAATCGCGGGCACTTTGCATGAACCTCAATTGTTCATAAAAAAATATTTTTGTGACCCCTGACAATCGTATGATCTACCAGCTCTTCCTGATGACCGTGAACGTACAAAGAATTGGTAAGTGTTTGTGACGCTAGATGACTGGGTGACGTGGCCCGGCTCATACTCCATGTTTATTCTATTCCGCACTTTTTTCCTTCTCGACCTCTACTAACCATCACTTGATACGTCACATGTTCATAAAGAGGTAGCATTAAGGAGCTGGTTTCGCAGAAATCTCGCAGCGGCGTTCGTCGGTCGTGAATGAAAGATCAGCGTTATCCAAGAGCGAAAAATTCAAGGTTGATGCACATAAAGGAAGAATAAAATTCTTCGGTTTGAGTGGCATTCGCACCCAGGCCCTGCGTGGCAAGGAGGTGTCCGTTTTACCAGAGCCACGACTTTACCAAAGAGCCACGAAAAAAAAAAAAGGAAAGCTTTATACGAATGCCATGCAGTGGAAATGGTATCCTTAACGCTTGTAATATCGCACGGCAGAAACGCAGAGTCGCACCAGGCATCAGAACAGGTGATTTGTGCAGCGACTGGTTCATTTAAAGGCCCACAAGATTCAAAGCGCACGAGCACAATTAATCATCATTGTCATCAATAAAATCGTCAGTGTTCAGCTGTGCGTGTTACCCTTACGGACGGGTAGTGTATGCACCGCCACTTCGCAAGAGGAAGAATTGAAGTAGCACCGAAAGGCGGGCGAGTTGGAACTTATCCATAGTGGGCAGCGCACAAAAGGAAACACACAAGAGAAGGAATCAGGACAAGCGCTGGATCAGGTCCAGCGCTTGTCCTGATTCCTTCTCTTGTGTGTTTCCTTTTGTGCGCTGCCCACTATGGAAGAATTGAAGCTTGGTGGGCACTACTATAGGCGTTCTAGGATAGTTTGAAACGGTCAGTTTTACGCTTCTTTACCCCCGTATTCAGAAACGCTCCTCGACTCGAATTCCATCTTTCACTTGATTGAGTTGAGCACTGCGCCGCTGCTCGACTGAAATTGACGCTGCGCTTCTCAAGAATCGCAGCAGAATATTGCCGATATGCAGTGACTCGGTCCGCCGAGAGACGGCGCGCCCATCGGCTTCTTCGAGTCGAGGAGAGCCCTTGAGTGAAGGAGCGTTTGTAAATATACGGGGGTTACTTTCGGGGAGCGAGGCCTTCCGATTGAGAAGGCGATGTTCACGAGATTCAACTATACGCTATCACGTTCGTTTACTCCTCAAGGCGAAGCCCAAGTATCTTTCATTTTTATTTTCATTTATTGATAAATATTTATTTAGCACTTTATGACTTAGGGAATGCAGTTCACTTTCTCCAGAGAGGGGTGCTATATTTCATCCAAGGCGTGGGCATTAGCGCCGGAATCGCGAATACAGCCGGTGCAATGGGAGTGGTTTCACGTTCGACGTGTAAAAGAGAAGCGTTACAGCCGTTGGGCGGAAGGAAGCGCAGCTGCTGTAACATAACAAAGCTGACCGACGAGTGTTTCACTCGTCGGCTAGCTTAAGTCGTTATCACGTGTACACACTGCAAGACCAACCGTCGACGCGGCTGTAAACGCATGCACAAACGCGCGCGGCAGCCCACCGGAAGAGCCCTTTTGATCGCCGGAAATGAAGCGCCGGAGGAGACGGCGCTTCCGTTCGGACTGCAGCCGGCTTCCGCCAGCGTTCTCGCTTGTTTTTGCCGATGCGTACTTGCCTTCCACTAAACGCCCAGTATGCGACGTAACGGCCGCCATGCTCGCCGCCTCATCCGTGCATGGGCGTACCGCTCGCTGACCCGAGTGTGGCGTTCCGCTCTCCAGGACCCCGCTTTCGTTTTCACTTTCCGTTTATAACTGTTCGAAGCAGACGATGCGGTATAGCGCCGGAAAATGTTTGGTGTCCGTTTGTTCTTGCCAGTGAAGCGAAGCCGCAGTGCACCCGTCGGTGTGTGAACTCCCCTGGATGCAACTTGCGCTGCGCAGCGTCCACCGCAGCAGACCCAACCGCCGATGCGGAGGGTGTAGCATGCAGCGGTCATAACCGCCATCGTTCTGCCTCCACCCCGCAAACAAACCACTAAACCGCAAAAAAGATAAATAAAAGAGAAACAAGCGAACAAAAGACGCGAAGTGCCAGTATCGCGATATCTGCTTGCTCGCGATTCTTTGGTCTAAACAGAATTTACAACCAAACCACCTGGCCACGTACCGAACGAGGTGCATGCATGCTGAGAAAAGTCAAGTATACGAAGAGGCAATATCGAGAAGTTTTAACTAAATAAACAAACAAATATTTGAAAATAGCGTTTTATAGCTACTGGTGGTGTCAGTTGTTCGAAATTTGAACTGGTGATATCAGCTGTTTAAAATTTGAGCTAATCGGCTTACGTTTCTATAATAATTCATGTTTTTACAATGCGCTTACATAGGCATATGGCTCTGTAAGCAAGCTTTCATTGGTGACAAAAGGGGAACAGGTGAACTGTCGGACCGAAGGTTTAACGCAAGCATTTCACATTGCTGTTATAATTTGAGAAAATGGAGCGCAGGTAATAAAACTCATCTGAGATCGATGGTTGCACGTTAAGGAATGAATTCCCAGCATTAAAAATGACATGGATGGAAGTAAGGCGACACACGACGAGCGGTGATAGCCAGCGATGAGTCGCTCTTTTTGCACCTGTGCTTCCGGCTGAAAATCTTTCTTGGTGCTCAGAGGCAAGCAGTTCGCTTCGCTCCTTGCTGTCATTAGATAGACTCTATAAGCGTACCGAAGCGCATATGTTTACACAACACCTTGTCGTGCTCGATGAGTTAAGGAACCGAAAGCACGCTAGTATTCGAGAACACAGTGCCAGCACCCACCCGTATATGTATTTATTTGTGCGTCGAACGACCTTCACCTTACATCGCGTCGTGCAACCAGCGGATGTGTCCCAAACCATCCTTTTACTTAGCACCTGGCCGACAGGCGTCAAAACAGGAGGCTGCTTGCGTGCGAAAGCACAAAGTCTGGGCCCATCGGCTGCTCAAAATAGGGGCACCCGCAGAGGCCAGTGTCCAGAGACCTATATATTACGCGCAGCAAGGCGTCCCGAATGTGGGTCGCCGGCCGTTCCACATTCGGCCGTGCACGCGGCGTGGCGTTAAACCAGCCAAGGAGGAAGGAAAACAGTGCCGAAAGAATCGGCCGATGCGTAGCGGTGGGAAGATGCACGGGAGGGTGCAGGCAGTCGTTTAGCGGCAGACAGAATCTTCGCGAGAGAGGACCAGCTCGCCAAGAAGAAAAGCGGGCGCGTGCAAAGCATTGGGCAGAAGGCGAGCGCCGACAACAAAAGGTGTAGCGGAGAGGGTGTTTCGCGAAGACGGAAGTGGATCAGGCACCGCTGCAACATCAGGGCCCGCGTTCTGCGAGGGCGCAGGATGCGGCCGATGGCGCGCGCGCGTCTCCCGCGACAGCTGTTTCTCAGCTGTGGCGGCTACCACGTGACGTGGACAGGTGGCCCGGACGCGGGCTGCCAGGAGCGACGCGCCAGCTGCCCCGGGCGGAAACCAACCGCGGGTAGACGGCCGGCAGGGAGGGACACACCTTTGCTGCGGGGGGGAGAGAACCCCCTGACGCGGAGAAGAAAGGAAATGAGGACGGCAGAGGAAATAGCGCAGACCGAGAGAAAGGTCAAAAAAAAAAACGAGGAGAGAGAGGAGGACGAAATGGGAAAGGGAACCGTGAAGGCATGGCTGCAGCCCAAACGGGAGCATCGGAGGCAGCAGTAGTCTCAGACCCGTGGTTGGGTGAGGAGCGACTCACGTCCGAGCTTTGTCCCAGTCGCGCTGGTGCGACTATTGGAGTATACCGCGGATGCCATACCTGCGCGCCGGTGGCCTCAACGGCGAATAGGACAGGGTGCTTCAGTGTAACCTGACTTCCCGAAAGAAATACCACCACGACTTGCCGGCACAGGGCGGTCTCGACTGCACATCTGGTCACCCTGAAGACATCGATCTCGTCTCAACTACCCCAAACCTGAGCACAACCCTCGATAGGAGTTCAAAGCGGAGCTACCTGGCAAGCAGCATCCAGTCGACTAACGCGGGATGTACGACGTCCAAGTTCACAAGCCGTGCGCGGTGCCGGTAAGTGTGCTCACAGCGGGTAGCCTTCGACGACTGTCAGTGGGCCAACGTTGTCCAAGATTCGCGCCCGCGTACAGCTTTCACTGTACTTCGTTGAAACGCGGGAAAAGTGCACCGATAATTACGGGCCGACGCTATCTGCTTCCGTATAAACATGCCAATGCCGCCGGAAGTCGTTCATCTCGGCACCGCGTGATAACCGCGACAGTTGACAGGACACGCAAGCACTGTCAGACTTTCAACGGCTTTTACACTTTGTCAAATACCTTTCTACGACTCATTCTGAGCATTTACCTTTATATCGCTCTCTGCTTGTCCTGTTTTACTGTTTTGATGACAGATGAAGGATCTTTTACTGCGGCAGATACAGAGTTCCGGGAGACATTACGCTGCGGTATAAACTCAATGAGATTCTTCAGGGACAATTTTATTTTCTTTCATAATCACGATCATCTTGTAAGCGTCGTACAAAGAAGGCTTGGAGAGTATACTTCGCACGCTTCACAGGTGACAAATGTCTGTCGTCCGATGCAAATGTTGGACTGCTGGAAGCATTGCCGCGCTGAAAACGTATGTCTCAAGTGAAGAACTGGCAGTCGCGCGAAAGGAGAGCCGCCGAGAAATTGAATCGTTTCGGCGGCCTACATTCAGTGACTTCAGAGGAAAAGTATGTCGTGGTTGTTGCGATAAGAGCTGAATTTTCTGTATTCATCGAACTATATTATGGAAAATATGTAGTTCTGTCGCGACACCAGTAATCAAGGAAGAGTACTTAGTGGCTATATTAAAAAAAAAATATCTGCGCACTGACTTCACCACAACGCGAGGCGTTCAAGTCACGCTCACGTTGGCCTCGCGTTCCGACAAATATGGTTAAGGTAGAAAATATCCCTTGACTTCGTCCATGATAGTTATGAGCAGAATGGTAACAGTGTGAGGCTGCTCTCGGCGATTGGATTCTGCGACTGCTATACAGTAGTATGGTCTACTACGTTTCTTATCGAAATACATTTTCTTTTCGGAAACTGCAGGCGCTACATAAAATATGGCTCGAAATGAAATGTGTTGTAATAGTGAATCAGCAGAAGTTTGTAAAAATCACCAAAAGATATCGGAAACAGGGCTTTATAGAAATATGAAGGCATGAGTCTTGAGGGCGCATGGTTAAAACTCCACGAATGGACGGATGGAGACTCGATTTAACGAAACACCTCAATAAACACCATTGGTGACCGGCGAATGCATCCTTGCTGAGTTAACCCGGCTGTGGAAAAGAGTTACAGTATGCCTGCTTTAAACACTGTACCAGATAACTAGCATCTGGATTTTCGATGCGAGGTGCTCAACAGAGTTTCTTCTGTCGTTGTGCAGGAATCATACCAGACAATGAGTCCGAGCTCGTGGTTCGGCCCGGCGGCGGGCTCCCCCGAACAGCAGCCTTCATCCACGTACCGGGGTCTGTACGCACTGACAGTCCGCTGGCAACCCCCTGCACCCCGAGGGGAAGCGCCCAGGCACCGAAAAGACAGTTCTTCCCTTCCGAAAGGTGAGCAAAACTGCGCGTTTGTACGCCGCTGCTGCTACCAGTTTTGACACTTTTTGGTGTGGCTAGTGATGTATTGCGAGCTACATGCATTCTCCGTATTTTCAGAAGTAGTGCGGTCGCTACTATCACAGGCGTGTGCACGTTTCTCCATTCTAGGGGGGGGGGGGGGATGCAATGGTTATTGCAGCGCCTCCCCTTTCATTCGCCATGCTTGTCGAGTGCTAAAAAAAAAACAACCTTCGCAATCGATGAACATAAAGTGATAACGTGTTTCTTAAAACCGCCTGCTCTTGGTTCCCGGCTCTAAGAAGGTAAAGCTGCGCGGTAAATAGTTCTTGCAATTAAACAATTATATTTTCATAATTCTATCATCTTGGTGAGGATAGAGGTAATCAGACACCATTATCGTCAAAATCCTGCTTGGCCTTAACTCTGCACCAATGAGAAACAACGACTTCGTTTGTATTGACAAACTGCACTCTCAGGGCACTAATGTCATAACTTTCACTAACACAAGTTCATTATTAGCGGAGAAAATCAAGGTTCTACTTTCATTTTTTAAGGAATCGCGCCAGAATTTTCGCGCGTGACGTCACAATATTCAAAACGCATTTTTCGCATTTTCTAGCAATTGACTCGATGAAACTTTCTGAAACTTCGTGCATTAGGTCTATAGCACCCAGGGATGACAATCTGCTTCATTTTTGTCAATTGGAAGATGCGTAGTAACCCGTAGACGCCTTCGAAGTACATTGTGTCCCAGCGTTTCATACGGGGATGCTCAAGGCGGCGTCTCCACCCGCACTTTTCTTTCGCATGTTTTCTCAATTACTAAGCGTGGTTTCGTGGTAAGAGTGGCGCTTTCGGGATCGTGGAATGGTCCTTCACTGAAACGCGAAAAATCGTTCTACTCCTTAGTGTCCCTTAAAGCAATGGTTGGACATGTCCAGCTTGCATGTATGGGACAGGCTTGGCACACACGTTACAGGAACTGCCGTGCGCTAGCCCATCACTGCTGCTGCGCGTGCAGGACAACTGACATTAACCATAGCGTGGGGTTCTGATAGAACTGCATCTGGCACATTGTGAATCACCTGGAGGTGCTTCCTTACATACAATAAAACAATAAAATTTCTGTGTAGAGATACCAAATCGTATACATCACCGCGAATAACTTAATGCATATAAAACTATGGCTTCTCAAGCTACGTCACATTAAAAATCGCAGCAGTGGAGCGTCCATTGAACGAGGCAGAGTCACGTGTGATCACCGGCAGTTCCTAGCTGACGTCTCACAATGCACATTTAAAATTGAACGCCTGCAGGGCATAACTACAGTGAGGCATCTACACTTTTGCAGTTTGTGTAGACCGAGACAGAGAGTATTTTAAATAAACAAGGTTGACCGTTGGCGATTATCAACTATATACGGCAAGCACGACTGAACACAAAACAAGACACGGAATAGTAAGGACTTCACGTTGTTCAGCCATCGTACGGTACTATCTCTCCATTTTGGCGCTCTTTAAGCGTCACGAAGCCGTACGGCGGCCCCTATCGCCATTTGGAAGAAGCTTATGACATATTCGTGTTCGCGCTCTTTCGCCCAAGTCAACCTCGAGTCAGAAAAAAGGCGGCAGATGGCAATACGTGTACGATGGAACTGCGCTACATCAGATTACCACGATTATCAAAGTACGCGACCGACTGGTTTAAACGCATAGTTTTAAAATGAAGCCCCTCGAGTAATGAAAATAGTAATAAGCGCGTGGCAGAGATTCTCCCCGCCCGGCATCATAAAAAAGAAAAAAAGTTATCTGTTATTTCAATGAGCTTGTTCAAGAAATTTTTCATTATTCGACAGTTAGATGGCTCCGTATGTTCCGGTATCATATGTATCCAACATAGCTCGTAACTTTAACGAGACCCATCGATTAACCACTTTTATTTTTCAATATACATTTTCTAAATACTGTGACAACTGAAAGTGCACGACCTGAAGTTCTTGGTAGAGAAAGAAGAGTCTCCCATTCGTGCCGCTAATAGTCGTGACGTATCTGTCAATCAAAACTAACACGCAACACCAGTCAGTCACCGCAACTCACACCAATAAAACAGAGTGCAATTTGCGAATGCAGTTTGTCCTTCATAACTCTGGAGATAAAGTTACAACGTTTTGCTTCTCTTCGTAGATCCGCGTCAGTGGAGCCGGGAGGACGTGGCCGTGTGGCTCGTGCATGTCATGGATCAGCATCGGCTGCCCGCTGTCTCTACCGACCGATTCCTGATGAACGGAAAAGCGCTGTGCCTGATGGACCATGGAGATGTTCGTGCAGCGGGTACCCCTCGGTGGCAAACTGCTCTACAAGGACTTCCAGCTCAGGCTCAGCAACGTGCTCTACAACTGAACCAGGAACACTTGGAAAACCAACGTTTGATGTTGCGCAAAAGACTTAGCAGCGGTGGCCCCAAGGCCCGTCGCAACACAAAAACCGTCCTCCTTGCAGCACCTACCAGTGACTATTTACCTTGGCTAAAGCGAGTGCCAACAAGAGACAAACACAAGATAGCGCTAGCCACGATGTCATCTTGTGAATATGAAATTACAAGATGGGTGGTACTGGCAGACGGCTCGGTGACGAACATCAGAGCGAGAAGTCAGCTTTACAAGACACGTCCTCTCATACACGTACATGATTTGCTACAATTTCAACGTGGTTCAAGGCCCAACTTCAAGGCTTACCACTTCCAGGGTTGTGTTCACACAGAGGGCTTTCCCGGTCCTCTTCCTAGTCAAGCTACTGCGGTCGACAACTTCGTGGATCTTATCTGACCACGGTTTACAGTGACGCAGACCACAGCGACGTTGACATTTAAGCCACTTGTACATAGATGACTTTCATTCTTGTACTGATAGTCAACCTGTCACCACTACCATTATTTACAGTAAATATATAACTTGGAAGTAATCATTCAAGCCTTAAACGATTCTATATGCCATCCTGGTGAAGACATGTTCGAGGAAGGACTGACACCCAGAGAAACCACGACATGTGTGATACTGGATAACCAGCGCATGTTGATACACTTCTGCAGAGACACATGTACTTCCTGTGTAAATAGATGTGGTGAGGTTGGTGCAAAAGCCTCTGTGAAGGAAGAGCCCCCTCAACTTTTGTGAACGTATGCTTTTGTACTTTTATAAAAGTGACAACCAGTAGTATATAGACATTTGTATAAAAAAAGCACCCGTGACCGTATCTCATCTTACATATATGCATTATAACTACATTAAATGTCTTTCACAGTCCGAAGTGTGTCTTGTGTATTCAGTGCAAAACTAAACGTCGACTGGTAGCCAAAATAAAGCATAAATTGTGAGTATGCACAGTAGTAGGACTGTAAAGTTCTGGTGAAAAGTTCCATGGCCTCGCTTAGTCCATAGCAATACACGGGATAGTGGCCTGGGAACTTTTGAACCCCCCCCCCCCTCCACCGTACAATGAAAAAGCAGGCTATTTCATTGTACATTGTAACTGTGGTATAGTGTCAGCGAACTACATATACTACAAAGATGCTGACACGGTGAGTATGGCAACTGGCCATTACTTGACCTATCAACAGATTGGAAGTTCTGATGAAGCTAATCAAAGGGAACAATTGGGCAGGTTTGGGGATTAATGATCGATGTATACTGTGAGGTAGTAAAAACGGATGACAAGCAGGCAGGGTCAAGCGCAGACTAGCAACTGAAGGTTTATTTATCATGTAATACAAATATGTATATACAGGGTGTTTCAAGAAATGTGACCACAAAAATTACAGAAAAAGTTTTCTGCGTGCTACCTGCGGCTTTAGTTTTACTGTGGTGAAACGCACCTTCATATGCGTACAGAATGATTACGATAATAATTATAAAATAAAAAAAACACTTTCTAACCGGGGGAAATAAGTGATCGAGTCGAATGGGCGATTTCAAGTCCGTCCTGCGAATAGTCCATAGCCACTTCGAAAGTTCCGAAAGGCTGCCGCTGGTAATCGCCACGGGGTGATGAAATATGGCTAATTTAGCAGGTGGAACTGACCAAAAAACAAGCACATTAACCATCCACTTCGAAAACGCTGTTTCCCTCACCGTTATCAATCTTCAGTCTGGATATACTTCGTCTCGCGGCAACACTTTCCTGCGACATGGCCGCTTATCAACGCTCGTTTTTGCTTCTCCCCCGATGCGAGGGAAACAGTGTCTTCACCGAGGGCGTTGTGAAAGTCCATAGTATACCCTTTTCAATGCGTCCGTTTCGTTTTTCCCAGCTAAATTAGCCAGATTTCATCACTCCGTGGTCCAGCCGACGCCTTTCGGAAATTTCTAAGTGGTCATGGACTATTCGCAGGAAGCACATGAAATCGCCCATTTGACTCGGCCACTTATTTCCACTAGTTAAAAAGTTGATGAAGATGCCTTATGCCACCATTAAGGGGACGCCGCAGGAAGCAAGCAGATACGTCCTTTGTGTAACAGAACCGAAAGGTGGCTGAGTGGGAACTTATTCATTTTCTGCGCTGCCCATGACGAATACGTCCTTTCTGTAACTTTTCAATAACAGTAGACACATGCCCCCCCCCCCCCCCCCCCCCAGAAAAAAACCATTTATATTTGACAAACAGGAAAAAACAAAAAAGAGAAAGAAGAGAAAAGGCACAAAAAAAGACACGTTACAATTTGACAAACATCAAAATTTGTGCAGCCGATCCGTGAGGCAGAACAACCTAAATCATGAGCAATGAGTGCCATTTTCTCGATGATGAAGCTCTTTATCTAAGGGATCAATCAGCAAATTGCTCACGCCGGGTTCACGTCAGGTTCACGCGCATTTTCTCAGCTTTCAATGATCCTCCGGATACGATAGTCTTTGTGCTTATGCAATACAACTGTTTTTTTAGAGCTGCGCATGGCAACCACACATGCTGAAATGTTGAGCTGATGAAACCCACGATGTGTATATGTCTGAAGGAGATCGGCAGGCAAATACCAAATTTGTGCTCGAAGAAAGGCATGGAAAGGAAAAATAGAATGAAAGGCAGAAAGAGAAAAAAAAGACAGAGAAAAAAAAATTGGCCTGGCGTGGCTCTGCGGTGGAATACTTGATTTCCTCGCAGAATTCTTGCGCTTGAAATTCATCGGGTCAACGCTGCCAATGTCACTTTTTCTTAACGCTCTCGCATTTAAATTACCAATGAACCTTTTTACCCTCCCATACTAATTTTGGTTTACCACATGGAAAGGAGGTGATAAGGAGAACACCCAGGCATATGCGGTTAGATGGTTACGGAAACGCTCAAAGTGCCTGGAGTCACCCCGCCGCGGTGGTCTAGTGGCTAAAGTACTCGGCTGCTGACCCGCACGTCGCGGGATCAAATCCCGGCTGCGGCAGCTGCATTGTATGCCCGTGTACTCAGATTTGGGTGCATGCTAAAGAAGCACAGGTGGTCGAAATTTCCGGAGCCCTCCACTACGGCGCCTCACATAATCATATGCTGGTTTTGGGACGTTAAACCCCACAAATCAATTAAAGTGCCTGGAGTCCGCTAAGGAATGCCTCGCATTTAGAACCTAGCCAAGTGATGAACATGCCAAATTCCCAGCAGCTCTCCCGTGACCCAGCAGTAACACCAGCTTTGCACGACTTGGCACAAGCTATACTATTTTATATGCGAAGCAGCTCTTTGACTGGTCTGTGTGACGCTGTCCCTGCATGCGCGTACACCCCTACTGCGCATGTTCGTGCCATCCCTCCTCTCCCCTCGCAAGGCAGACGCAGGCAGCGTCTGCTAGTAAAAAACCGACTGCTCCCACGGCACAACGGTTTGGATCGCGCGTTTGGAATTCAGTCAAGGGTGTGTTTGCTTGGCTTTCACTTGATGAGCGCCAACGTCAACGTCGGTGTCAGTGTAAGTGTTAGCGCCCGCTGCTTCGCATCTACTCATGGTTCCCCTTAGCGGGAGATGACCCAAGTTTTTTTTTTTTGTTCGATACTAATATCTTATCAAATTCTATGGTTCGAATTCAAAACAGCTGACGTCCTTCAACCAGATAACACATTCTAATTACACGTCCGATTCGCAAGACCATGCACTGAAGTCCTACAGAACTCGGTTTTAAGCTAAAAAACTTCTTGTGCACTTCTACATTGTCTATAGTTTGGCTAGAGCACACGGAAATGAGCATAAAAGTTGGTGAGTCAGCATCCACGAGCGTGCTAATTAGTTTACCACTAATCATATGGTGGTTTTGGGACGTGAAACCACACAAATCAATCAATCAGTTTAACACTAGCGTAAGGAGTTTTTCCTGTGACATACAAATCTCTGTAATCGAACCTGGCTAGTCATTAAACATTGAGAGATGCTTTTTATCACATTCAACACGGAGACAAACACGACATACCACGCACTATCCATGCTAAGCTAACAGTACCACATGCATACCAAGAAACATGCACCCTGAACACAAGGGCAGACGTGTCAGTAGATCCTGAGCCGTGTCAAAGTTGTTTGGGCGCAACCATGAGGCAGTCTTTGTCGACGCAGCACGCTACCAGGCACGTCACCACTTCGTGGCTGCTGTCGTAGACCACACATAACAATGCAAAAGCAGCGCGTCAATCATCACACGGAACGTATAAACGGCAAAGGAAGTGACTATCGCGACGGCCATAGCCCACACTTACGCCTCATTTGTAATCAGCGACTCGCAGACAGCCGTTCCAAACTACGCCAGCGGCGGAATCTCCCCCGAGACAATGCGGATTCTTAGTACAGGTGAAATTCACGAGGCGGACAAATACGTGCACATCTTGTGGTTCCCTGCCCACACACCCTTAGGTAACGCGGAGGCCAGCCCGAATGAAGTGGCGCACAACGTGGCTCGAGGTTTTACGTTCCGAGTCACGTCAGACGAAGCGGTCACCCAAACGGACCTTTCTGCGCCGGTGTGGCAATGGGACGATCGGCTCACCAAATTTAATGACATAACTCAACACTATCGACTGCAAAGGCGGCAGTACCCTCCACCTCACCCCAGTCTAAATCGGGCCCAGTCCGTTCAGTGGCAGCAGCTACAAACATGCACATACACGAACCCTGTCATCATGCACCCCATATATCCCGACGTCTACAGTTCTAATCTATGCCAGTACTGTACCACCATAGCCATTATTGACCATATTATATGAGAATGACCAGCGTTAGTAAGAAATTCTGGGGTCGCGGCCTCCAATGAAGACCTTCGGGCGCGGTGACGGACTGCGCTGCACAGTTCGAGCCTGGACAAGCAACTTTGGGCGATCCAGCAGGCCAAGCAAGCTGTCGGGAAACACGGTCTCCCCGTTGGCCCCTATAAGTGGGAGCCCATCGCAGCAATCTGCCGGTTTGTGACACAATGATAAGACCCCCTATACTTTCTTCGGCATTATTGTCCGTTACTTCCTGTTAATAAACTTCCTAATGAATATGAATCTAACTCGACAACTTCTAAAACACAGGAGTTCTTAATACAAACAAGTGGTCTTACAAAAAAGGTTCTTATTATTCGCATTATTGCACAAATAGCTTGCCACGCAGGTAACGTTCCATCCAAATACATGCGTCTGTCCTGCACGTTGCGTCCAAGTCGCCGTTTCACAGTCCCGCATTTTCACACCGTTTTTGCCAAAACTTATAACGGATAACAAAAACTACGAAGCGCTTGTTCTTGTGAGTAGGACAATAAAAAATGTGGAATGAAAATGCCCCAGTGACGTGAGCGAAGCGCAATATGACAATTGTTCACGTTTCACTGGGCGAAAATTCCAAGCGCTTGTTCGAAACCTGGCGCGAGCCTCTCGTGTGCCGGCCGGGACGTGTTAACTAAGACGGTGAAGCCGGCTGAGGCTTGCAGGCTGCTACCAGGAGAAGTACTTCTTGGGAGGCAGCCTCGCTTCACGGTGGTCCATGGCAAAGTACGGCTGCTCGGACACCCAGAACCGCGTGGACATGTAGTAGCTGTCCGGCTCGGCCCACTCCGGGATCTTGAAAGTGGCATCCTCGTGGGCACCCGTTCCCTCGTAGCACCGCTGGCGCAGGTTGCCGAGAAGGCTGGCCACAGCTAGCGCCACTCCCGTGAGAGTGATCAGCACAGACGAGATCAGAGCCACCCTCTGCACCGACAGAAGCGCCGCAAACGAGAGGACCTGAATGACTGCGCCGGGCACAGAAGACGGCAGGAGTTCGGGGGAATATGAGAGCCTGGAAAGGTGAATATCGTGAACGCAAGGCGCCGCTGGACACGACTTTCTTTTTGACAAGAGGCCTTGAAGAAAACAAATCAAGTCCGCTTGCAATGTCGATGCCAGCGACACCTCGGGCTCAAGAATTTTTCTGCTACCGCCCCCCCCCCCCCCAAGTCTGTGTCAGCCCCCTCCCCACCTTTTACTTCAGTGTTAGTATAGTTCACTTCCTATCACCAATCAGGACAAATGAGTGACACCACTGTGAGCACACGTGAACAGAATTGATGCTATAAAGGGGTTTTTCTGCTTGTAAAAACAAAAAGTCGTGACCATGCCCCCTCTCCAACGTTCCTTCAGCCCTTCCCCCCCCCCCCCTAAAATGAGTGGCTGCTTACGCCCCTGGTTCCTGGCACAGCCATTTGCATAGACGTAGAGGAGGATTACCCAGCAGGGGGGTCACTGCGGGTGAAGGAAAGGAAAACTAAAAGTGTGTTGACAAAGGCAAAAACAATTTGATCATACATATAGTCGAAATTTTGAAGTCTACTTGCGCTGGGTTTCTTACAGCAGTGTACTGCATGACTAAAACAAAGTTCTTCTGGCAAATAGATTTCTCGGCCATGGCACAGGTTGCCGAGGCATATGGCTCGTGTTTCGAAATTGGGAGCACTTGTTATGTCCCCTAACTAACAAGGCTAAAACAGCATGCACCAAGGATAGGAAGAAAAAAAGAAAGGAAGACGAGGCACAGGCGCTGTGCTACTTCTTCGTTTTCCTTCTGTGGTGTAGTGCGCGATGTTTTTGTTTCGTGACGATGATCAACCACCTAGGCGGAGATGTGTCATTCTGGCTATAGACTTACTTGGTGAATCAGCCCAATGGAAAACACATATATGTGGGTCACTGGATTGAGGCTTCACCGAGAGTATGTATCACGTTAGTCCGTGGTTTCATCTTATAATCAAAAGGCGTCTGTTCTTTAAGCCGATATATTACCCGGAATGTCTACGTCTTTTCATTTCTCTCAGTGCATACAATATATCAACTCTGTCCCCATCTGTAATAACACACATCAGTGTATTCTCACGGACAATCGTACAGCGTTTCGCTGTTATAAAAAGTCACAGTACCCTTTATGTGTTCGCCTAAAACAACTTGACGACGAAAGCCATCTTCCTTTTCTCATAAGCCCCAATCCTAAACTCTCCCCCCTCCCCCCACCGCAGAAATATTCTTGATAAAATGTGTTTGTGCACTGCCTCAGAGAATGGCGCACCTTTCACCAAGCATGTGATGGGATACGATGTCATGTAGTAAAGCCACCATGTTAAGCAGCGTTCTATGACACCACTGTCATGGTGATGTCGCCGTGTGATCATTTTTGGGTTTACTCGTGTTGACGCCACGGAAGCCGATGGTCGATTGTCACGTCTAATGAGGCCTCTAAGCCTTTCGCCTTAAAGCCGCCCACCTCGCGCGGAGTGATTAGTGTGACGCAGTCGCTCTCCGGCTCTGAGCCGCATAGGACGCACGCGTCGTTGAGGCGCACGCGGTCCCTTGCGCACGTGCAGACCGAGTTGCGGCCGCACACGACGCCGAGGCCATCGCAGCCGGCCACGCCGCCATCGCAACGCTCGCCGTACGAGCCCCAACGGCGACAGGGACCGGGCTTCACTGATTGCAGGCCCTCGGAGCACTGGCACGTACCGTTCACGCAACGAGAATTGGGGTCTGCCGACGAACATACCTCGGAGAAGAGGCAATTTTCCTGCGTGATTGAGACAATCGTGATGTGCACTTCGATCGATCAATCAATCAATCTATCTATCTATCTATCTATCTATCTATCTATCTATCTACATGCTCTGACTTCACCCCCCCCCCCCTTCCTTCTTCACCCATTGATTGATTGATTGATATGTGGGGTTTAACGTCCCAAAACCACCATATGATTATGAGAGACGCCGTAGTGGAGGGCTCCGGAAATTTTGACCACCTGGGGTTCTTTAACGTGCACCCAAATCTGAGCACACGGGCCTACAACATTTCCGCCTCCATCGGAAATGCAGCCGCCGCAGCCGGGATTTGAACCCGCGACCTGCGGGTCAGCAGCCGAGTACCTTAGCCACTAGACCACCGCGGCGGGGCCCTTCTTCACCCAGATGAATATGCTTGGAGGATAGGTATTTTCCAATACAGTTTCCCCATCTTTCGCAGAACCAATTGAACAGAGTATTGACCGAGGTTGGGCCAGAGAATATACACGCACACATAAAAACGAACGGATCCACGAAGGCTGAACAGTAGGCTACAAAGAAAAAAAAATGGCCCTGTATCTGCATGTGTCACTGCAAATGTCACTGAAAGGCAGTAGTCTTGCTTGTGGAGTGTGTGAACAAGACGTTTATATGATGTTAGGTGCCAGAAAATTGGTGAATTGTATCCTGGAAGCGCTGCGTTAGAGAGTATCGATCCGTGCAGCGAAGGCGAATGAGCGCGTCGAGGCACATTAGACACGAGCGTCATCTGGAAGTTATTTTCGAAAATGAAGAAAGGCGTGTGCGCCCATGGAGAAAGATGCGCGCCTGTTTTGGAGGCGACAAGCTGTAGAACGCAAAGCGACGAGCAGGTGCCACCAACATGTCGTCTTAGCAAAGCGTTGGAAACACTTGCCTTTTTGAGCATCGCGTTGCACTGCCAGCGCAGCGTGATAAACGCAATGGTCCTTAGAATTACTTATATATACCTTCTTCAGTATAAAGATGCACATACAAAACATCGACGTGTTGTTATGATGCCTCAGATATGCGCAATAATTGATTTTTAATTGACAATTGTACAAGTATGAACGCTGAAACTTGACCAGTATTGGTGGGCGCTGCGATGGGGTTGGCCGTTTGAGGTATAGCGTTAGGTGCCGTTTAGGGTCCCATTACCCCGGACTAACAGACAGACAGACAGACAGACAGACAGACAGACAGACAGACAGACAGACATACAGACAGACAGACAGACAGACAGGCAGGCAGGCAGGCAGGCAGGCAGGCAGGCAGACGGACAGACAGACAGACAGACAGACAGACAGACAGACAGACAGACAGACAGGCCAAAACTTTGGCGTCGAAGGTCCCCAAGAAAGACTATCGTCTTTGAAAAACTTCGAACTCACGTGCAAGGCCTGCCCCTTGTGGCAGACATCGTAGAAGCGGTCGTAGGCGGACTTGTTGGTCGGGCAGCCGCACAGAAGCGAGCGGTCAAGAAGCGAAGGCCTGCAGGTCGCCCCACGACTCTTACAGCGCCCACGACGCGCGCACTCGTGTCCCATCTCGCCGAACGCAGCTGCCTGGCGCAGCTTGTCCACGGTGCCCTCCAGGGACGTCTGCGCCGTCATCACCCACTCCTTAATTAGACACGTGCTCGACGACTTGAATCAAACCATCACTAACGAGACGAACGAGAAATATGGCGCTGAAGAGGTGGTTTACTGTTTTCAAGCTGGCGGCATGTATACTGAAGTGATTGGGATCTACATTCGAGTAAGCGGACAACACCACAAGCTAAAAACAAGAGCTTGCAAACACAACGCAAACATGCATGACGTAAACGGAGCCCTCACCCGAAACAAAAATATCTGGCTGCACCACTACTTCTCAACGAAATAAACATTAAAAAAGAGTAAAAAATACGTCAATAACGAAATACGTCAGCGAATAACGAAATACGTCAATGCTTCAAAAAATAAATAAAATCGCTAACAATCGCCATTATTTCAGAAAGACGAGAAAATGCAGCACTGCTTCTATTCAATCTCATTCTATACATTGAGTAATCTACTAATTCCTTTTCTACAAAGCCTTCAGTCACGGATACAATATTTGTGTTCACTTTTGAAATGTCAGTTTTTTGTGTTTAAATTACATACGTTGAAGCACTAAACTATGTGCGTGGTGGTACTGGCACATGTCGTACACACACACACACACACACACACACACACACACACACACATATATATATATATATATATATATATATATATATATATATATATATATATATATATATATATATATATATATATATATATATATATATATATATATATATATATATATATATAGACCGAGAAAACAAGTCATGCACACACTTTTTACTTCGCCGTCATGCTGCCACTACCACCTTTGATAAGCACACAACACACAATCCTAGATTTGACTGCGAGTCACGATCATCACTTATCACATTTATATCAAGTAGAAAATATCTGTGTAACGCAACCTTTACCATAGCACTGATAAGCAACAGGCCTACAATTCTTAGGACCATTTTAATGCGCACTACGAGCTTCACTGCTCAAAAAGTGATCATCATGTACAAGGTTCTCCATGCAACTAGATCCATTGATACTCTGCTACAAAAACTTTCAAGCTGCGTCCAAATCACTCAGAAGAAGTAAGATCTCTGACGCTTTATTAATAAGCAATCTTACTCTATAGTAACGGAGATATGAGACAACCTTTGCTTCCCGAATCATAACGCGGATTTCGAGAAGGACAGAGTTTACACTGATGAAAATCACCACCTTCAAGAAAAGAGATTAACTGTGTGACACAGCAACTTCCATCGCGCACCGTTTATCTGAGGGCGAAGGTCTATCAACGCGAGCAAATGTTTAGTTGCCTTTGCTCAGTAAGTGCTCTTCTGCGCACGTCAATGCTGCCCTGCGGCGAAAACAACACTAAGATTGTAAACAGATTTTTGTGAGCCTGAGGCGCCACCAAGCGAACTTTATCCGTATGTAAACGTTGCATAAACAAGCCCTCCGAGATGTGACGCACCATTGTTGGAATACCCACGTAGATATGTCTCGTGGTTGCTTGCAGACGTACTCATCGAATATTTTGTCTAGCTTTTTGAAATATCGTAGGCGTATTTCATGGCTGCGATATTGTTCGTGACTTGACATTTGCCAATTTATTTCTATTACTGTTTTTAAAAGGCCATGAACAAATAAATGAAAATAAGAAATAGGTTAATAAACAAAAAATAGCATAAGCTATAGTGAGTTTCTCTACACTACAAGAATGCCTGAAGGTGAATCGTATTGTAAAGACTGTATTGTGGTGAAGCATTGTAACAGTAGCAACGACAGTTATGAAGTTCGGCGAAACACGATTAGAAAAAAAATACGTGTGGGTTACATGCAGTTTCTTGATTGCTATGAATTGTCTGAGCGGCTCATTTGACATGCGCATTTCATTATGGTTTGCGCAACAATTATGCGTGCATCACTCCGTAACTCATTGTATATCTGGCACTCCGCACAGAATCCGATAACTTACATGGGACTTCTAGTACGCGTTCCTTGTTCATACACGCACGCGCAGATTCAGAAAACATCTAAGGGCAAATGCAATGGATGCATTTAGTGATAACCACTTGTGAGAGAACTGCATATACTTTCGGGGTCATTACAAAACTAATTTAATCAAATAAACATGCTTCCAGTTTAAGTATCTAAAGAATGTGGTTTCACACATTAGGCTAACCTGTTGATTAAAGTGAAGCTTTCTTTACTCATACACGCACACTTTCCCGGGTTTGCTGTCCTGTTTATTGGCGCATACTAGTCAAGAACATCACACAATAAGCACAGAGCACGTGCACCGCTGGCACAGAGCCCCAAATTTTGCAGCACCAACCACAAGAAGTAAAACAACGCGCTAAGCTGCACAAATTGCACGATTCCCGGTGAAATATATTGCGCTGCTCTGCAGTTGCAAAGATGCACACAATGTGCGGATGAGAACTGACAGATGGGTGAACAATGTGATGTACAAGTTGAATATGAACAAGAATATGTGCCTCACAAAAACTGGCCGCTTTTTTCATAGGTGGACTAATATTCACTATAAGTGCCTGATCATGCTTGGCTTGTTGGTTCTGAATGGGTTAGTCGGTGGTTTAAAAAGACAGTGAACATTGCTGCTTCCCCTTAGTGCCCCTTTATGCCAGCACGACAATGATCGTCTATGCATGCGTTAACCAAGACATTGTCTTTCTGGCTTCGAGCGGATATATGGCTTCAGAAACCGATATCGTTCCTAGATAATGCCACTAAAACTATCGCAGCATTAGTGTCTTATAGAAACTTTTTCAGCAAATGCACATATAGACAAAGATACATGAAGGCTTTCTTGTCTTCTGGAGCTTGTGTAATGGCGTACTCATACTTCAAGTGCAATGCATCACCAGCTCGACCAACATTATTCTAATGTAGCATCACTCATTGTGTGTACCTTGAGCGCTACCTGCCGTCCATCTGGCCGAGTGATCCTACAGGCAACGCTCACGTTGCGAACGCTCGTAGGTGCCTGGATGCTGAGAAGGGAGTCCACGACCACTACGGAACCGAAGCGACCCCACCGGGAGTCCACCGAGATCACGCTGCTGCTGTCCATGGACACGCCCCATGAGATGTTGGCAGGCTCGGCCGTGGCCGCGGAGCAGCTGAAGAGCAGGGGACGGCCGTCGGCGCTCACAGGGCGCAAGGCGCGGAGCCGAAATTGCGGAACCGAAATGTTCCCCGGACTGACGAGCCACTGCTCGTCCAAGCCGAGACGCTGAAAAGGGACGAGGGCGACGACGGCTCCGGAGCAGAAGGTGCAAGCAGCCATCATCCAGGTGAACATGCCTTCTTCTCCTCTTCTTCTTGTTGCACTATTCTGCTCGTGGCACGTGCCCACAACGATCGTTTGGCCAAGGTTGGTGGGCGGTGTAGCGCAGGCCATACGGCGGCCATACTGGTGCATACACATATGCTTTGAAAAAAATATCTGGCTACTCCGCTGCTGAGCTCACGATGCATGGGGTAGTAAGTAGTAGGAGTAGAAAGGTATTGGACCATACTCGTCATAATCATCATCAACCATCCTTTGAAAGGTAGGTGCTTGAAAGGCAGTCCTTTGAAAGGCAGGTGCAGCATAATCATCAATACATATGCCATCTGCAGTGTATGAGGGCCTCCCCTAGTGCGCTTCGATTACTGGCGTCTTTTTCTCAATATTCAGCGCCTACAGTGAGTGCCATCATGTGAAACTCTGCCGCTAGGTTGTCGACATCAATTATGGCAGTGGACTTTGTCAGTTGAGAGCTTTTGGATAAGAAAAAAAAAACGTTTACTTAAGAATTAGGCGTCCTGCTGCTTCGGAAATCTCAATCAAATAATCGCACAAATCTATACTGCTACTGTGCCATGCGAGATGAGGCGACTGCTAGCAGTGGTGGTCGAGCTCAAAGTTAAGCATAAATAATTAGCCAGAACAAGCTTTCACTTCGCGAGCTCCCTCTTGGGGTATTTTGGAGAAGTTATCAGTGGGATCGGTCGCCCCCTCGATCTCCTTATACCTGACCGACATCCATAGGAAATACATTCATGTGAGTAAATGGACGAATCGTTCCAAATATTGGTACCGAAGTACAGTTACATTTTTTTTCTGAGGTCGTCTCCGTTGCGCATTTAGCGTTTACCTTCGTTAATAATGCAGCACCAATTCGCCCTAACTATTACTCTAATAACTCGCTTCAACCCTTTAGAAACGTATGAGAACCTTCTTCTCGTTTAAGCAAAACCCAAATTCCTTAGCATCAGCAACATTTATCTGCGCTACCTACAGCCTGTAGCAATTGCCTGGTGTTTCGCTTCTTCAGAATATCTGTAGATTATTCAAATAATCTATGCTCATTTCTGACACCAAGTTATCGGTTCCATAGGTGGCGCGTAGCATTCTTCTTCTTCTTCTTCTTCTTCTTCTTCTTCTTCTTCTTCTTCTTCTTCTTCTTCTTCTTCTTCTTCTTCTTCTTCTTCTTCTTCTTCTTCTTCTTCTTCTTCTTCTTCTTCTTCTTCTTCTTCTTCTTCTTCTTCTTCTTCTTCTTCTATAGATAGAATTTATCGCCGAAAAAGAGTGGCCGTGAACAGTGGCAGTGACAGCGACGGCTTCAACGCCACGAGGTCATCGTTTAAGGAAGTGAGATATGCATATGACACAATCGGACGACCGTCCACACCCCTCCAATTTTGCTGGAGCACTGTGGCGCGTGAAACGATTGTTAAAGGGCCAACCAAATAGAGGGGCACTTACGGACCAATATCAAGAACACGTCCATACCCGCTATAAATACAAGTCCAGTTGGAGGGAGCCCGTTATCAGCGCCTCCTCGGGCGAGACAAGACCCCTCCGTCTCGCGTCTCGTCTGACCCGAGTTCCATATTCGTGCGTGCCCATCGCAGCGGCAGCACGATAATCGAGGCCGACGGACTCGGAACGAAATGAAGCTGCAATGGCGCGACAGTCGGAC